GACCTCCCAGACTCCCTTTCTGAGAGGTATGGCAAGCGAAGAACTCTTAACAAGTAACCTCAAGGTCAAGGCTGTTCAAAAGCTCTCTGCACATGTACTCTTTCAAGGTTTTCTTTGTGTCTGCACGCACGACTTACTGCATCTACCACCTCCCAGGTCCCACTTCTCCTTGTCCCTGAAAACCCACTCATCGTTTGGCCTCATCTTTTATGTATCTGATGAGCAAGAAGACAACTTCATGGCTCTCTTCCTGGCCCACGGGAAGCTCGTATACACCTTCAACGTAGCAGATCAAAGAGTCAAAATCAAGAGCGAGGAGAGATACAACGATGGTGGATGGCACAATGTAAGTTCTCTCAGTCTGTATGTATGCATGGGTGGCTGCATGTTCAGTTATGTGCCAACAATTTCTACAGTGACAACCTCCTCTCTTCTCCGGCTGAAGGTTGTTTTTATCCGTCATGGGAGTATGGGGCGGTTAATAATTGATGGGCTCACAGTGTTGGAAGACAGAGCTCCGGGAAGCAACGTCTCTTGGCACGTCAGTAGTCCCATCTACGTCGGAGGAGTTCCTCCAGGGAGAGCCCAGAAAAATATTCAGGTATGGGTCAAAGTTTATGTGCAAGAGATTTAATGTTAAAAACATACACCTCTTACAAATCTCTGTAACTGATAACCCTCTGGTGTCTTCGTCGAAACATTATACTGTCCACCATTGTGACCCTTTCCCCTCAGAGCTGAACAGAAAGGCATCGTGTTTTTGTTTTTTTAAAGCAGGATCAGTTGATTGATAGCTGAATGCTCCACTGTGTTCACAGGCTAGTCGCTAACTTTGTCCATGTGTCGTTTGATGCTGGTACAAAGCTTTTTCCCCATAAACTGTTGAAAGCCATACAGCCATGTCTATCTAAAGTTAGCTTCTATTAGTCACCGTAAGATACTGGTCATACCAGAATAAGTTAACTGAGGTGGAAGAAACCCTGAGTTTGTTTAACTGAGCAAGAACATGTGTTATTGCTTATTTGTTCTACTTTTTATTTGTAAGAGGAAGAATGGGTTTCTTTTTATTCGGATATTTACATTACTCTACCTATCTACCTTCCTGTGATTTCTAAAAAATAGCCCTGAAATGTTTTTTTAAGCTACTGTTATGTGTTTCCGTGTGTGTACTTTTAGAGAAACTCTGTATACAGCTTTACCGGCTGTTTGAAGGACCTTCAGCTTGATGGGCAGTGGCTGTCCTCCATGGCAGAGACTTTTGGAGTCACTCCATGCTTCGAGGGACTCTCCGAGGCGGGAACATACTTCTCAGAGGAAGGAGGATACGTCATGCTGGGTATATTTCTAGCAGTTTTTAAAGGAAAACAAAAGGCACAGGCTTGTTTTTCCTCCATCCTCGTACTGATTCTAAGGAATTTTCCATTTTGCATTAATCCAAAGTTTTGACTTTGCGCAAATGTAACACGGTCATTTGGCAGGATCTGCAACTCTCTGACAGCTGAACATCTGTTATATTACATGGCTCATTAGATTTCCTTTTGGAAAACTCACAAGCCCCTCTGGTCTTTCACCATCCCTTGTGCACAGAGAGAGTTTGGTTTGGGTGAGGGAACATGATACCCTCAGTGCAGCTGTGGTGAAACTGTGTCTCTGCCGATGGGGGAGTGCAGGGCATGTGTGGAAGGTGAAGGCCCCACAGAACTTATGAACTGAGCTGTAGCTGTTGATAAGTCGAGTAAATTCACATGTGCACACAGACAACCATGGCTGATTAATGCAGCAAAAAGGTACTCACTTCATCTTGTTCTCTCTGCTTCTCTCCCTCAGATGAAACATTTGAGCTCGGGCTAAGGTTTGAACTAGTGATAGAGGTGCGCCCCCGTGTGGCATCTGGGGTGCTACTGCATGTGCCCACAGCAGAGAGCTACTTCACTATGTATATTCACCAAGGGGCAGTAAGTCACTGGTACACTTATTCAGAAATACACATTTAGGAAGTCTACAGGTTATATTAATCAAAAATGCAAAAAAAAATCTGTTAAAAAGTATGGACACAATATTGGTTTGTGTTTCCAGGTGGTGGTTCTTGTGAATGATGGGTCTCAGGAATTCTTCACAAAGGTGTCACCCAGACTGGGTCTGTGTACTGGCAACTGGCACAGAATCACTGGTGAGAATTTCCTAAGAAACACTCAAAAGGCAACAAAAGTAATGATGAAAGATTCATGTAAACTGAAAAGTTGCAAAAAAGTCAACAATTGCTATGATCTCATGTCCTTGATAGACATTTCACACTATATTTTTTAACTGGAGTCAATATCTGTTGCCAGTCTGAACAGGTCACGCTGTTGAATGGACCTGTATATACACAATAATTATACCAAATATGTCGCAGCAGAAGTTAAGTACAAATGTATTTACATACTGTATATGTAGCGCCTTTGTAGAGTTGACATCTATGTACAGCAGTGCGTCACAGTAAGCACACAACTAAAATACTGACACAACTAAGCAGGTGGGTCGTGAGCCGCACTAGTTGCTAGGGAAGCCAGTGTGAAGACATCATGATTGCTGTCACTTTTTAATCTTTTAAAGACCCCCTAAAAAGCTTTGCAACAGCATTCTGCAAGAAGAATGAAATGCTGTCATTGCAAAGATTCACTGTTTTACAGTGCTTAGTTTTGTAAGTTAAGTGGAGCATTTAATCTCGCACACCATTTAAGTCACTTTGAGTTTTGCAGCTGTTAGGCAGAGATTCAAGCAATTATTTGGTCTAACAGCTCACTGTCACTGAACATCTCCACAGCAGCTGTCCATGATCTTTTCCTAAGCACCAACATAAAGTCACAACTGGAGTGACAACATTTACGTTGAACCTGTGTCCATACAGACTGGTTTCTTTTTATTCAGTTTTGCTGGTGGATGAGTGATGTGTGATGTGTCTGCCATGTTTTTGCCATGTTTTTGCCACGGTGCAAGCCAAACATAACATGAAAACATTAGAAACATAGAAAACATAAGAACTGGTTCCAGATTAAACTACCCAACAGTAAACCTTTCAGTTTATACCATACATATACTGTTGGACATGTATTGGATACTATGGTACAACATATAGTATTAAAATTAACTTCATCTCCACCACCCAAGAAGTACTCCAGCAATTTAGTATTACACTTTCGTAAAATTTGGGAACTTGCAAGAGACTGATTTAAAAAAAGAAGAATAAAGTCAAACCTGTAGCAAGGCTAAGATATGTTGATGTTAAGTCCCTAAAATTGTCAAGCTCCAGAGAGATCCTACACTTCCCATGATGCATCTCATTCTGTAGAACTTTTTGGTTAAACTGATGCTCTCTGTCCTGCGTGATCTTAGTGATCCGGGATGCCAATGTTGTCCAGCTGGATGTGGATTCTGAGGTTAACCATGTGGTGGGACCTCTGAACCCCAGCTCCACACATGCCAGGAAGCCAGTGTTCATCGGTGGAGCTCCAGGTGAGCCAGAAACATTGTTGATGTTCTCCTGTTATACTACCCTTACACCTTTCTGACCGTGTGCTGCACCCCTCCTTCTCTCAGATCTTTTCCTCCCAGAGAACACTGCCACCAGGAAGTCCTACGTGGGCTGTATGAGGAACCTGACCATCAATAACAGCCCAGTGAGCTTCAGCAAAGCTGTTGTGGTCAGTGGAGCGGTCAGCGTTGGAACCTGCCCAGCAGCATAACATTTCTGTCCACACCATCACTATCCCCAATGAAGCACTGACCAAACACATTAAAAATGACCTTTCTTTAATACATAACCATTATGAGAAGTATTGCTACTTTTCGGTTCACTCTTTGTCAAATGTTTGTCCTTGTTTCTGTCTTTTACTGTAATTTGTCAATTCTTTTTTATTGGTTTACAGAAAATCTCTCATGCCACGAATATGACCAAATTGTCCAAATTTAAAAATAACCAGAAAAGAAATGCATCCGTATATGAGAATATGAACCGATTTCAGGTTCTGAACCATCCAGAGTGTATCCATGACTTAGACTTCAATTATTCCTCTGTAGTAGGTCTTTACTTTCTTCGTTTCAATGGCACTTTTTTTTTTTTGTACAAGCTCCTTTTTGTATACTGTTTTATTTCTGATAAATAAAAGATATTTCACATCCACGTAAGCTTGTTTGTTTTTCTAGTTTATCTTCAGAATTTTAGACGTCGATATTGCAATAGCCTATTTTAGAAAATGACGAAAGCATGTTGTGTTTTGTCTTAAATAGAAAACACAACTAACTTACACATATTTTCCATTTGTGTATTGTGCTGACAAAGAAAGTGAACTGTGGTTTTATTTTTGGTTTTGAATGTTGGGTAGACTTTTGTGACACCAGTGACGCCCAAATTGAGCTGCTTCCAGGATGGACAGCAAACTACTTACTTGAAATGACTTATTCAAGTGGTTCCTTTTATTCCTGTTGTCTAGAATTAATATATTATTTATTTGTCTATTAAAACTATACTTGAGATAAATGTGGAAACACTGCCCTCTATTGCCTATTAGGTGGATTTTCCCAACCAAAATGAGGATGAGAAGCTGAGAAACGTGGAAGTAATATGATGTGATTTTTACACAAAGTATCTCTTCAGTTAAAATGTATTTTTATGACTGATCTGCTTGAGTTATTGGTCCTAGCGCAATGTGTCGCCAAATCGATATTAGTGTCATTAGCAATAGTAACTTAACCATCATAATACAACCAAATCAGAGTGATGGTTCTTCTAAAGTGTTGACCGGTTTTAACTAAATATCTCTTCTAGGAAACGTTTGTCTGTAATAAACTGATGACTACGTCGTATCTCATATTTATTTGGACAGATAAAGAGGTGAGATAGCCTAGTAGGCACAGCAATGATGAATGACAAACCGTTGCAAAACGTTTGGAGATTGAACCTGAACTCGCCCCTGGTGAGCCAAACACGCCGTTTCCATGGTAATACGTCATCAGCACTCGACCAAACACAGTGGAGGCGCGAGTCGCGTTCAGTAGTCTTTTCAAAAAGTCGTTGTAACGGACAGCTGCGGACAGATGTTAAGTATGAGGGCAGCGTTATGAAAGGGTCTGTGTGTTGCTGCCGCCATGACACAGTCTGTTATTGTCCAAGGTGAGTTTAACTCGAGTGCAGCTCATTGAACTGAAGTAACATAACGTAACGCATCCAGAAACGAGCTAACGGCTAACGTTAGCTGTCATTTCCTGTCTTCTGATAGGCTGGGTGACTGTCCATAACTTAAATATTACTTCTCAGCTTGTTGCGGTCGTTGACACGTCACTAACCTCAGTCATCTAAACTTTTACATCGTGTTCTACAGTTGGACAGTGTGGCAACCAGGTTGGCTGCAGGTTTTGGGATCTTGCTTTGCGAGAACATGCCCATGTCAATAAAGTAAGTCCTAATACACACAATGCATCAAAGGCACTCTGTTGACGCTCCAGGTGCTCTCACTTCTAACCCATGTTCACCTCCACACGTGCCTCCTCTGCCAAGATTAACAATGGTGCTGTTACTAAATGTTTATATAATATAGATGATAGTTGCTGTCTTAATCAGATTATTGCACATGTATTAAATTGATTTACACTTATAATAGTCACTTGACTAAATCATGATTTGCACAAATGAATGTCGTTTGTTTTGTTTTTTTTAGCTGTTTTTAAGCTCTGTTGAATCACCCACTAACTGATTAAAAATTGAAAAAAACTTGTTTATCAGTTCTGATAACATTGTGCTCACCACAATAATTGAGAACACAACTCCATTGCTATAATGAAGTCTGATGGATAGGAATGATGGTCAGAACTTAGAAAATGTATTAATAAACCTGAATTATCCTTTAAGGCAAGCCATTACTTGTGACCTTACTCATCTTACAAAAACAGACATTTTATCACATAGCATGGCTTTTAAGGGCACCCCTAATATCCTGTATTTTGTCCTATTCAGAAAGGATTGTATGATGAGGCTCTCAGTAGCTTTTTCAGAAATGTGGACTCGAGGTAATCACATCATTCATATATGCATACATACAGCGGTCAAAAAAAAGTCCTTTGTAACCTTAATTTTTTTTTTTTTCCTGTGCTTTTCCAGGAAAAGTGACAGGGGAACCTGTGTTGGTGGGAGAATCCAACATCTGAAGGCCAGGGTAAGTTCTACCCAGAAAACAGCTTGACTTTTTTTTTTCTTCTGGCCTTCACAGGGGGTAACAGCTTATTTAAGAGTCAGTGTCAAGGTCAGCGTTGGATTCTGCGTTATGAAACGGTTGGCATCCACTGGTTAGAATTACAAAGAGGATTTATGGAATGACAGCAGGGCATTAAAGGCATGTGCTCTGCGTGAAATGGCAATAAAATATATGTGCTGGCCCCATACTCACATATCTGAATCCACAGGCGGTGCTGGTGGACATGGAGGAGGGTGTGGTCAATGAGATCCTGCAGGGCCCATTGAGAGAAGTGTTCGACAGCACTCAGCTCCTCACAGACGTGTCAGGTTCCGGCAACAACTGGTAAGAGATGGACTAGCCACAGGATGTCGGCTCACAAGCTCACATATCTGTTAGCAACTGTTGAAAACCATCATCTTTTCCATTCAAACGTTACATCAGTTCTAATGGTGTTGTGTTCAGGGATTAAACCAATGTAATTGGATTGCATTTGTCTTTGGCTGGATGAATTAAAACCTGCTATCTTATACAGCCTCTGCATTTAAAATACCCAAGAGTATAACAGCATCACAAAAGATCAGTAGAGGCTTTTCCTACTTTGCCCTTTCTCAAGGCTACATATTATAATTTGCGAGAAAGGTCAGCAGTGCTTCTTGACAGGGCTGGTGTGAATGTTCCCTCTATAGGTTTAAGCCTGACAGCCATTGTAAAAGGAAGCAATGCGTCTTTGCAGTGAGTTATGTTAGAGCAGTGCCTATCACATCATACATATTTCCCCCTAAGTAATGCCTTGTCCTGCCTCTCATTCTGAAGTTTACGTGCAGAAGGGTTAGAAAGGAAGTGCTAAAAGGAAGAAAACTGCCTTTTAGCACGGACTTTAAATTATTGGACAGGCCAGTGCCTGCGGAAAATCCTGCACATGCCATGTCAACTCAAGGAGTGTGAAAAATGTAGTCTCTACTTTGACAAACTCATTTACAGAGCTGACACTGCACTGCAACATTTAAATTTGTTTTTTGTTTGTTCTTCATGTGGAAATTTTCACTTTCATGTAGAGTGATTTAATGTTTTTGCCTTTAGCCTCCAAGACATTCTAAATCTATGCTCTATTTTTTTTCACCTCTTTTCTAAAGTTTGCACCATTTACACATAACACTTCTCAATGTATATGAACTTAACAGAATCAGGTTTATTGCCAAGTAGGTTTCCACATGCAAGGAATTTGCCTTGGTATATTGATACATAACAATTATCATAGTAAGTAGAACACATATGGGATTACTTTCCTATCTTTATTCAAGAGCGTGGTCTTTCAGTTTGAGAGCATGACTTCATATTTAGATTTTGTAATGCTTCCCTCAAACCCCTGCCCTCCTACAATATGAAAGAGCTGTACAGGGATGGGCAAAATATTGACAACCCCTCATTAATCTGCATCTTCTTCTCCAGGGCAGTTGGACACATGACATATGGCTCAGCCTACAGGGAGCAGATAGTGGATACACTGAGGAAGGCAGCAGAACACTGTGACTGTCTGCAGTGCTTCTTTCTCATTCACTCTATGGGAGGAGGTGAGACACAAAGACAGTTTGACCCCATCCATGCATGGAAACACTGATGCTGGAGGAACAGTTTGCCTCTCTTGCAAAGACGGGTGTGTGTGGATGCTTTCCCAGTCATTCATATCATGTTCAGCCTTTATTTGGTAATGTGATGTGTTGGCGGTTAATGTGTTAGTGATACGAGATACTGCTTCCTAATCATTTGGACTGACCATTTTTCTACCTAGTATTTATGTGTCTCAATTTAAGAAATACTAAACTATATAATAATTATACATTACATGCTCAAAAAAATCTTTTTTCTCTGGGGGAATGCTTTACATGGTGTCAAAGAAATCAGCTTACAGCAGAAAGAAAATTCATTGATTTTTGAATTTGAGGTACTGGTTCTGGCCTGGGGACCAGAGTCCTGAGCCTGCTGGAGGAGGAGTTCCCTGAGGTGTGTCGAATTGTCACCTCCATTTATCCGTCTGCTGAGGACGATGTCATCACCTCTCCCTACAACAGCGTTCTGGCCATGAGAGAGCTCACCGAGCACGCCGACTGTGTCCTGCCTGTGGAAAATCAGGTCTGTGCTTTTGTAAATGTTTAAGTTTTCTCTCTCTCTTTCTCTGCAAACATCTCTGTAGCAACAAAAATCATCAATTTCTGTTCGCCCTCACTTCTCCTACTCCAGTCGTTGGTGGACATCGTGAACAAGATCAAACATATGTCTCACGGTGGAAGGCCAGGCTCGATGATCAAGAGAGACAGCACCATCATCTCTGGGCAGGGCGGGCTCAGTGGGGCAGAGAAGCCCTTTGATGCCATGAATAACATTGTGGCTAACCTGTTGCTCAATATTACCAGGTATAGTGTCACTCTTTGCTCATATACAGTAGACCGTGTCTGCTTAAAGAACCTGTCTCAGAATGTTTATTTTATTACTGGACATGCTCCCATTATTTTTTTACTGTATTTTTAAGTCTTTATTTTGAAGCCATTTTATTTTTAAACCTTTTTGTATACATTTATTTTAGAATGTTCTGGTGCTAGGTCACTAAAATATAATGCTATTTATAGTACTACTTAATATATCAGAGGGTTCTTTTTCCATCCAAAGCTCAAGGCAGAGTCATACTCTTTGTGTTGTTAGGTGATCCCCCTTCCAATCCACATTTGTCTGGTATGGCTAAAACATTTGTTTAAGCTCATCCTGAAACGGGCAGCGTATTTGCATTTTTGAGTACCTAAAGATCCTAGGCTGTGAAATGACTCACATTTTTTTTCCATTTTCATCAAACCACTTAGAGAGCTTTTGTGTCCTGTATTGAAGCATCTGTTTGTCCCCGCTGTGTCCTTTCACATTTATTTCAATGTTTTCTTTAATTTTATCTGTAGTTTCCAGTGTGAGTGAGTGAACTTTGTGAGTTGCCTGAAGTTTGAATATTTGTGAGAGAGGCAGTTTGTATATGTGCATTGTTCCACTAGTAAATACTAAATAATTGAGCATTACACAGTATCTCATTATAAAACTGCCTTTTCTTGCTAAATCAGTGTCATGTCATCTGTTTGTCACTGCCTCTAAATGTTGCTTGTGTGTCACCTTTCTTTGTTGCAGCTCAGCTCGTTTTGAGGGATCTCTCAACATGGATCTGAATGAGATTGCCATGAATCTGGTCCCCTTCCCTCATTTACACTACCTGGTGCCCAGCCTCACCCCTCTCTACACACTGGCAGATGTCAGTGTCCCCACCAGAAGGTCTGCTGTCTGGCTGTCACTGCAGCTATTTTAACCTCACAGTTGTTTGGTCCCCCGCAGAGCTCCAGATATTGAGCTCATGTGAACTCCATCATCCTCTCAACACGAATCTCACGTTGACTGTAGTGTTGAATAAGAAGGTAACCCCCTTCAGTAATGACCTCAGTGATTAAAAGTGTGTAGTTACTTAAAGGTGGGGTAAGCGCTTCTGGAGAAATCCAACACCCTGATAAATACCATGATATAGAGTGAACAACGACTCAGCAATTAATGTAACTAATGTAAGCTAGGTTGTGGCTAACATGCAGAGGGGACGAGGCGGCCCCAGAGCCAGCACACCAGCTCCAGACTGCGATGCAATACAACTCTCTAGCTGCTATAGCTGACATCAAAACAGCATGTCTTGGCGAAATGGAAAGTAAGCTGAATGTCTGTGGGCGAGTCATTTATGTACTGACACACAAATCATGGCTGGAATAGTGTGGTGTGGCTTGAGCCTCTTTGTTTGTTTGAGAGCCAGGGCTTTGTACAAATACCAAAACACTGCCTTTGGACAAAAAGACGTGCATTGGATGAAAATCGCACACCACACCTTTAAACTGTCACTTGGAACATAATGATAAAATATTTCTGGTCATGTAGGAGAAGGACTTAACGTATTACAGATAGGGTAGGTAAAATGATGATATAAATGTCTCTATTTGCACCTTTCATACATAAATGCAGCTCAAAGTGCTTTACCTTCACAAGCACTTAAATAAGTAGCAAATACAGCAGCATGCACAAACGCCACATGCTCAAAACACAGGTATTAAAACTGGAATTAGACAGGGCTATAAAATCAAATAAATACATAAATAAAGTGTGTTTAATCAGTTAAAAGCAGAAGCATAAAGTAGGTCTTGAGCTGCTTCTTTTAACTATCTGTAGGAAACTTCTCTTATTTGTAAAGAAAGTCTGTTCCAAGCCATTGGTGCATGAGAACATAACGCATAACTTTTTACTGTTAAAACTAGAGTCACAGTACAAATAACAATATTGATTTGACCAATGTGATATGATCTCTAGTTTTTTTCAAACACATTTTAACTGTGAGAGATGATAAAAAGTGGGCTCAGTAGATGAGCTCCTTTAGCATTTTTTCTTTTTCAGTGTTAATTTAAATTTGATGACTTTTTGCTCTGATCAGTACCAAAAAGTAAACAAGAGGCAAAAGATTTTCAAAGACCACAAAGGTGGCTTTCATGTTATCGAGTGTGATGGTGGAAACAAACAACAAGCATCTGAGCCACCACCCACCCTCCTACCTCCTCCCCTGCAACAACTGCCATGAATGTGGCCTTATGTGAGGCATACAGACCTCATCTGCTCCAGAGGACGTGCTCATCGGTCAAAAAGAGGTGGTGGTTGTGCTGGGCCAACTCCCAGAGGTGAATATATGTGACTGTATGTGTGAATGCAGAGCAAAGTGTTGCTTAAAAATATCTTGCCTGCTCAGCAGAACCTGCCTGGATAAATAAAGGTACAACATGTCTTTCTCAAACATTAGCCCCTTGGGCCCCAAGTCTAACTCAACTGTACCTGAAATCCCAACACGGCCATTTCAGTTACCATAGCCCGTCAATAGAGACATTATGTTCTGAACAGGCAATTCTCAAAGGCTGCTATTTGTCAGGATCATTTTTTGTTGTAACATGGCGTGAATCTTCATTTCCATCTCCTAACTGTGCACTCTAGACTGGATCAGATGTTCAGTGATGCCTTCAGCAAAGACCACCAGCTAATCCGAGCCGACCCGAAGCACAGCCTCTACCTGGCCTGCGCCCTCATGGTCAGGGGAAATGTGCAGGTGTCCGACCTCCGCAGGAACATTGAGAGGTCAGAGCGCCATCCTTCCACTCAGTCTCTTTCTGCAGCAAAACAGCCAACGAGTCAGTTCACTCGCCCAAGCTGGCCCAGAAATGACCTTCACGCTCACTCTCCCAAGTAGTACCCCCATTCAGCACCGTCAGCAATGATTCATGACTGGTCCATAGAGCACCCACCTCTCCTCTGCTCTCCCTCAAGAGTGGATTCTCATGTGGCACGTTTTCAAACTTGAACTGAAGCTGCTGTAAGAGCAAATATTTATAGTGTAAAGGAGAAGGAAAGGCACAAAATGTGCATCATACTGCAGCATATTTTGCGGTTGGTTATCTCTGCCTTTTTTTTTCATTCAGAAAAATTATAATTTAACAGGATGTTTTCGTTCCTGTGAATTTATGTAGGTGCTGACGAAAAAATGAATCAATTAATTAATTATGAGATGAATCATTTGCCATGGTTGCTTCCACACTGCAAAAAGTGAGCTCTCAAAAACAAGGGGAAAAGCATTAAAATAGGGGAAATATTCCTTAAAGTAAGCAACATTATCTGCCAACAGAACAGGAATATTTCACTTCATTGCTACTGAAGGACAAAAAAACTTGAAACATAAACGCTGCCCGGTAAGAAGAAATATCTTGTCAGACAAAAAACATGTTTTGCTTTCAATTAAGATAATTTAGTTTAGTTTTTGCAGTGCAGCTGCTCATATATGAAGATTTGCTACTTTTCTCTATTTTATATCATTGGAAACAAGACATTTGGAATCTGGGGAACTGCAGGATAGTTTTCACTATTTCCTGACATTTTATTAACCTCATTAATTGGTTAACTTAAAAAGAATTAACAAATGAATAATGAAAATAGTCCTCAGTTGCAGTCTCATGGGTCACTCTGTCATTACCATTATTTCTCCTTGATAGCATATTGCAAATAATATTACAAATGGTGCTGTTTTAATTGTAACGAGGACTCATGTAGATTTTTCCATACATTAAATGTTAAATGTCCTGTTAGGTGCCCCGTAACCCTTTTAACCATATGAATCCTTTCTGCAATACTTGATGTGTCGTTTCCTCCCTGTTCTAGACTCAAGCCTTCGCTGCCCTTTGTCTCGTGGAACCAGGAAGGCTGGAAGACTGGCCTGTGTTCAGTGCCTCCTGTGGGTCATTCCCACTCCCTGTTAGCCCTGGCCAACAACACCTGTGTGAAGCCCACATTCATGGAGCTGAGAGAACGCTTTACCAAGCTCTACAGGAAGAAGGTGCATGTTAAAAAAAATTTAATAACATTTCTGACCAGCCTATTATTTTATTTTTTAGAGAAAGATTAATTCCTTTTTCATTTAGGTTAATTTCAAGTTGTTTCATTTTACAGGCTTGGAATGCAAAGAGACATACATTTAATGTAGGCTAATGACAGTGACAGAACTCAACCTGCCTATATTTGGGACAGGCCTTTCGTGACTTTTGCACAAAACTTGGCATGATTCCAAACCTGGAATATCAACACCAAAACTAAATACACCACCTTTAATGTGCCCCCTAGTCTCTTTTCGTGAGTATATAGAAAATAAAGTTGTGGTTGGGTCGGACTACATCCCAAAAGAAATTTTGCTCCCCCAAATGTATTCTGTCATTCCTTTAAAGACAGAGAGGAATCTAAATCGGATTAAAATAATTTTGTTTATGTTTTTTTTTTGTTAGACTTAATTACTTAACATTGTGCTCTGTCTCTGTTTTTTCAAAGGCTCACTTACACCACTACCTGCATGTAGAAGGGATGGAGCAGAGCTTCTTCTCAGAGGCCATCAACTCTCTCAGCTCGCTGATTGAAGAGTACCAGCATCTGGATGCCACCAAGGGGAGACTCATGCCTGACGCACCCAGACTCAGCGTCGCCAGATGAAGTTCCCCTCTATTGTAGATCTGTTTTCTGTCTGTCTGCTTGCATAGCAATGATTATTGTTCCAAATGAATTCACACAACCAAATCTTTTGTCTATACTTTTATAACTTATATATATGAATATTGTCTAATTTATCAACAAAAAAAAAGCAGGAACTTGTAAAAAGAATGGAAGAGTTTATTTAAACCTGTAGTATGACCTGACTTGGCATTGTTTAGGCCCCCTGTTCATAGCATTGCGAGGTACTGTTAATGAGTCGACATCTGCTGTTACAGCTACTGCACTGGCCACAGTCTTTGTTGTTCTTGCACGTAAGATTCATAAACGCTTTTATCATAACTAAAAACCTATATTTTCATTTATTTAATGATTCCAGCCATTCTTATAAAATGAGGTTTTGCAGTTTCAGCTTGTTTTACTGTGAGGAGAACTTAGTAACCTAAGTATGCATAACTTTCAGTCCTTAGTCTGCCACAGCAGGGCTTGTATCCTGTGACTGTCTCTGGACTTCTTGGAGGGATCAGTTAGAGTAACCGCAGGTCAGAAAACATGTCACCTGGATCATTGCACTTCCTCTGGCACACGCATGACATTATCCACTGCATCTTCCACTCTATGGAGCCTCCCTTGCACGTGAAGTTGACCTTGATCATGCGTGACTTGTTGGGGACACAGCAGCGCTTGTCTGTGCAGACACCGCAGTACGTGGGCTTAAACTTCTTGGTACTAGTACAGCCTGAGAGTGTCAGCTTCTCCAATTTCTTTGCTTGGAATTTAGGCCGGCATGTCTTTCCCTTTGGCACCTGTGAGGGGAAAACAGTAATTTTATTAGTAAATATTTAGATTTTATTTAAAACTATGTCAACACTTGAATAAAATCTGACGGACTTGTCACCTTAACACTCTTCATCACACTCTTCTCGCACGGTCGCAGCAGACACAGGCGTCTGTCCTTCCTCATCTCACATTTGCTGTTGTCGTTGTTGACACGCACAGAGATGCCCAGGCCGCAGGTTTTGGAGCAGGGGCTCCAGGGGGTGGTCTGGATCAGACAGTTCTTCTTCCAGGCTAAAGGAGGATCCCTGTAAGCTTTCAGTATTACAGTTAAAGGGCACTGTGTCAACAACACCCTACACAAAGAACTAGTCTGTGTGCCACCGCACAGCAAAGCAGAGCACAGATCAGAATCTACCAACATACCCCAAATCCCTGTTCTTACACACATGGGAAGCTCATTTTCTGCTAGCAGTTGTATAGGGTCCTAAAATTCTAAATGTTTTCTTTAAGCTGTATGTACACGAGTTAGTACTGTAGATACACTGCGATTTTGTAGCTTTTCGTTGACATTTTCCTCTGAATGTCAGCTCAAAGCCACGTGTTCTGTTTTTCCACATTGACAAATTAAATTAGCGTTTTCCTCAATCTGACACATCGTGGTATAGATAGGTTTCATGGCAAGCAAGCAAACTACACAGGTACATCAGTGTAGAATCTTTGGTGCTCTTAATAAAAAGTGAATTCTCCCTCCTGTTTATAACAGGAACCATCCATCTTTCTGTTTTCCCCGGTGAGGCAGTCTGACCACAGCTGGCCGCACCTCACTGCTCCCTCCGCTTACACCACCAGAGTAATGAAAGGCCCACTCCCCTTCACATCGAGCTAACTTTGACAGCAATTAGCATTCCTGGCCAGACAGGCGTTCCCTCTTTTCACAGTTTTACTCTACAAACACACACCTGACATGTAGGTAGTGTCCTGCTGGTGCTTCTTTGGGCTCTGGCCACTGCGAAGGCCGGCTGGCATGCTGCCCATCAGCGGGGCAGGGCCTAAGAGACCGGCAGGCTTCTCGATGAAAGCAGGGGTACAGCCTATGGCTCCAGCAATGCATGTGCACTTATAGAGTGGGCTGGGCTGGAAAGCTTCTCCGTTCTCATAGTGGGCCCCATTCAGGTCACAGCCCACGGCCATCATGTCTGAAAGTGTCAGGGAAACATTAAGGCTCTGTTCATCACTCATGCAAGCAACATATCTCTCTTAAAGCTGTGTAAGGTTTTTACATAAATTAATGTAAATGTTTTTGTGATGATCCAAGAACTTTTAATATATTTGACAGTATATTAATTATTCAGAATTGTCACTTAAAAGTAATATTAATCGACATGTTGCAGTTAGACATATATAATAGTATTCAACAGTTCATTATGAGAATGACAAAAGAAGCACTAGATTTAAATAAAATCTGGCAATTTCTTTACAAAAAAAATCTACAATGAAATTTGGAAATGGTACATATCCTGTATTTATATATAAAGTGCTTTTGTTTCACAGTCAGTTGCATAATTCCTGTAGTTACGCACATAAGCTGAATAAAGTCTTTAAAGGTGCCATAGAATAATTATTTTCAGATTCGTGTATTTTAAGATTTCTCTTAGAATTTATTTAAAAACATTTGTCTCAACCTGTCTGTTGCTTCAGCACCTCTATTCACCCTCTGTCTAAACACTTTTGTTTTAGCTCCCGTCTCTTTAAGACCCTCTGCCTGAAAGCCCACTTGATTGACTCTGATTGGCCAACTTCTAGGGGCAGGGGATTACAAAAACAGACAGTGAGCTAAACTGAATTCTATAATGAGATTGTTGCCACACTTAAGTATAACAGTTATACCTAGTAAGTAATGTTTTGAATGGGTCTTCCACTGTGGTGTTATCCTGAGCTGTTATGTTGCATAAGTTACAGTGTCTGAGACGGTGAAGAAACTGTGCAGTAATAGGCTGAATGCCAAATCTGGGTCAGTTTTTATATCCAAAACAAAGCGGAGGTCTCTACCGACTCAAATGCCTCTCTGATGTTAACCCAGGTTATCGCCTGATGTTGATCTGACTTTTTGTTGTTTTTTATCCTTACGTGGAGTTTGTATGAAAGTCTGTGTTGTGCTGGGAAGTGGTTGTTTCTTTTGTGTTAGCGGACTCCATTTCGTTAGCTGAGGTGTTGTTGCTGTGCATGCTTCAGAATCAGTAGGCAAGAGGTTTGGGAGTGTGCATGAACATCACAGCCAACATAAACCAATGGGTTTTGCGGATTAGTATGAATACTTTCAGCACCCCTGTTCCTTTGACCTTCCCTCTCATCACTAATCAAGAAAAGATTGGAGTCACTCACATGCACACACTCCAACCTCGTATCTTGGGTGGTCAGCTGAGAAGTCGCAGTACATGCTCTTGTGCGGGTCACAGACATCCCTCTCGTTGCACGACTCTCCAATCTGCCTGGCACAGGTCTTGCAGCAGCCGCACCCGTCTAGGACAGAGCTCACCCCCGGGGCACAAGGAAGTCTTTCCCGACACTTGCAGGGCCACTGGCAGAACTGCCGCCTCTCGGCCACAGCCCGTCCGTCTCGAGGAGCCAGCTGCCCATTGTTCTGAGCCCTGCTGAAGTACTGGGTGAGGAGGAGGAAAGATCCATTTTAAATGTCCTTTTGCGATACAGTTTTTTTCACCATTTTATACTCATTATTCAGTCATTTCTTTTATTAGATGCAAAAGTCTGATCGCTTTAGAAAGCTGAACCTAACAGGTTTCACAGGGTGCAAATTACGGGGGAGTCAGGGGGGGGGCTTGGCTCCTATTAATAAGACACAAGCTCCCCCGAAAAATTTTTTGTGAAATCTGGGGGGGTCTCTAAAATACTGACAATATGCTATGTTTGCCACTCATTTCTATTTTTCTGTATCATCGTGGATCACCGACCGTCCGCAGTGCACCGGGCCACTCCACTTCCTCCTGTGCCTGGCCACTCCAGCACCCCGCTCCCATTCCAGCAGACCTATATGGCTTGTGTCCAGGTCTGGAAATTAACACCCTTCAAGAGTCAAATGCGGGTAGATTTTCCATTTGGCGGCTAAATGCTGGAAGGCTACCCGCCACATTGGCGGCTAAACATATTCGGTACGATATCACCATATAACATCTTTTTTACGGTACCTAACCTTGATTTTTGTTGTGTGTCACACTTAAATTGGTCCCCGCTGTACCAAGGGATCTAAAATCATGTAACACACGGGTTAGAGGCGTTCATGTTCATTTCAGGTTTCTTGTGTTTGATTGGCGTATATATGTAAGGGATAGTTGGGAGTCGTCAAGTTGTGCTTGGAGTACCTGGAGTTTTTTCAGCAATTAGCTAGCTAGCTACTACTCTAACGTTCATACCTGTCAACCCTCTTGTTTTCCCCGGGCTTCTCCCACATTTTGCCGTTCTCTCTTGGTGTCCTCCCTTAAAAATATTTCCCTGTAAATCTCCTGTTCAATTATAGCTGCTGTTTGTTACGTTCCCTTCCGTTAAAGCCAGTGGCATGTAGACAGCTCGGTAACAGTAAAACTAAAAATAATAAAACAAGAAGAAGAAAAAAGGCAGCGCGACGGGTTCAGGACAGATGATGCGTTGCTAAACAGAGTATTTCACATGCATTTGCCTGTATAATAGATACGTGCGAATGAGAAAAATGATCCATTGTGTGCTGTTTTCTGTTAGATCTTGTCTTTGTTGGATGTTTGTTCCAGCCCAGTGTCCTGTCTGCTTGATTACCAGATCTGTCACCCATATATCTCGCTGCCTGTGTGTGTGTGTGTGTGTGTGTGTGTGTGTGTGTGTGTGTGTATGGGCCTTTCCGAAAGTACTACCTGCTTCCACTCTGTTTGCGCGTTCATGCGGAGGGTTAGCGATGCGTCTTTGACTAGTTCACGCATAACGACTGCTGATATATCGCATGTGGGGTTGTTAAATTCCGATACTACACTAACATTTCTATATCACCACACACAGGTTAATAACATAGCCTAAAGGTTATACTGTGTTTTAATAAAAAATGCTCTTGCCTGATAGACGATACAACTGTTATTTTTATTCTTATTTATTCCGTACGAAAATCTTCAGCCAAAACAAAAGAACATAAAACGATAAACAGGGGTATCATGTAAAAAGCAACAAAGGCATTAAATAAAAAGATTTGAATCTTTGCACATTTTATCTGTTTTAATTACTTTTTCTTAACACTGCTGTTGTTTGTTTGATACACGAATGAGAGCAGTGAGTGCAGCATTATCACGAAGTACATCAGGCCGTATTTACCTCAGGGAGAGGGAAGTTCATCGGAAAGTTGGCTGCTGTATTTATAACCTACAAGTTAAGGGAACTGTATTTGGCTGTGAGGGTCTCCGACCAGAGTACATGATAGAGTGGAAGTAGTGAGGGTCTAGTCTCAGAAAGGCCATTTGTGTGTGTATTTTCCCTGTACTGATTGCCTGATGTGTTTCACCTAGTTGTGCTCCACCCTGCTTGTTTGCTCTTGAA